CCTTCTCCAGGCCCCATCTCCTAAAGTTTCTGTCATCTGCCTATAGCACCACCCTAGGGATCAAGCCTTTATCAGGTAGCCTTTGGAGGGCGTTTAAGATTCAAACCATAGGGGCTGGGGCAAGGTCTCGGTGGCAGAGAGATTGTCTAGCATGTGTGAAGCACTGGGTTCCATCCTCTGCATCACATAAAAGTAAATAAATAAAGTTATGGGTCCATTTGCAACTAAAAAAAAAAATTTGAAAGAAAGAGTCAAACCATAACAAATACACTCAAAACAAGAATTCTTACTTCTCAGATTCTGTATTCCTGGATTCATCTGAGTTACTACAAATTGACAGTGAAGGCAGGAAAACGAGGTACGGAAAGGCCACCAGCAAAATAAGGACCAAAGATCCTCATCTGAGTGAGTGATTTCTCTCCCAGGGTTAATTTTAACTTTGCAATTTTATTTGCAATGCTTTAAATCAGAATTTTTGTGCACATGATTTAAGATTAAAAAAGGTAATCAAGTCTTCCTGCCAATCTATGTAATTGTGAAATTTAGTTTCCAACAGTTATCATTAAAACAAAGGTAAAGCAATTTCTTTCACACATAGTTGAATATTCCAGAAGAAAGCTTCTGGAGAATCCAAAGCCCCAAATGAGAACTTCTCAGTGTGAGTGTCTGTTTCAGCGATATGGTTTTATAGTATTGGACCCACTGAGTTTCGGATTACACATACACAAGTCTTTTCAGAATTACTATAGTTTAGTTTTGCCTTCTGCATTAGGAATATGGAAGACTTGTCACTGGTCACAACCTATCATTTCTAGGGTCAATGCCAGTATGACCACAGAAAATAGCATTATTTACCTGGCCCCCAATACTGCTGTATAAATCCATATAAATAAATAAAATACCTCAATCCATTCAGGAATGTTCTTTTCCCAATTAATGTTTTGATGACTTTGCACACAATGTTATGTTTTACCTTTTTCCATTTGCATTTTAATTTAAAAAGTCTGCATCAACTTCATTTTTATAATATTGTGTACCTGTGTTTTCAAAATCTTAACTTCTTATCCTGGGGGCCTTTTTAATATTTAATATTCTACCTTGTTCAGTTACTGGAAATATTTCATTTACTTATTACTTTGCTTGGGTTCATTTTTTTCTTGACTCAGTGAAATGATCCATTTGACAATCACATCACTAATGCCCCAAAAGTTCCTATTTCAATTATAAAAGCAAATGTAACCCATGATTATTAAGAAAACTGTTTTGCAAATCATCCATTGTTTATTTCAGAATATAATCAAGTACCACAGGCAAGATTAAAAGCTTAAGGATAAGGACTTTTCTTTCTCTCTCTCTCTCTCTCTTTTTTTTTTTTTTTGCAATAATGAAAGCAATCAAACCTTCCTGCCAATCTAGGTGATTGTGCAATTGAATTACTAACAGTTATCATTAAAACAAAAGCACAGCAATTTCTCTTATATCTAATTGAATATTCCAGAAGAAAATTTCTGAAGAGTTCTCAGAAAATATATTTTTAAATTAATTTTAACCTGATTATTTCATTTGTTATCTCTCGGTTGGTAATGCGGAATAAACGACACACTTGGGTGATGTAGTTAAACAACAGCAAGCAAGAGACTATCCTCAGCAAAATCAGATGACTTTGAGCTTAATACTGAGTAAATTATTAGATCTTTACTCTTTGTACAAGCACAACCAAACCTAAAGCTCCTGCAGCCTTTTCTCTAAGAAAAGCTTAGCCATGTTGAGATCCTCTCGGCCTGTGCTGGATACTACAGAATCAACTGTTCCTTTTCTAGTGCTCCATGGCCCAACTATGTCCTGGGGCTTCCTATTCCATGGAACTCACTTCTACCTGAACAGAAAGAAAGCCTCCTGCATCAGCAGTAACATTACCTGATCCAGCAACTCTGTGCATGCTGTTGCCTATGGGCCAATCATCATGACTGCCAGGCAAGAGTACCCCCCTCCAAAGGAAAAGGATCAAAGCCCTAAGAAACCTGAATAAGGCCATGAACTTCCCCATATCCAGGCTTTTGCCTAAGCTCTTCCCTCTTCAGAAATGCCTTTCCCTCTATCGGTATGGAAAAACCTACTCATCCTTCAAGGCCCGATTCATATGTCACCCTCAATGGCTGCTCCAAACTGAGTCAATCAGTTCCTTCCCCTGTACTCTGCTCCACAAAATTGACTTGACTGAACTGGAACATAGGTTGTTCTTTGCTTGTCCATCTCTGTTGCCCATGGTAAGGGGAAGAATCTTATTCATCTTTCCAGACCAAACACTCAAAACTATGCCTGAAAGCTGGAAGAGGCTCAATAAATGCTTGTTTAATGGAGCCCAAAACTCAAGATCAAATTTAGCTTACGATGGAAGAAGCAGATTTCATGTGTGTTGGACTCATTTCTGCATCCAAAGTCTAAGACAATGAGCACCCTCTTTTCATCTCTCAAAAGACAGGAGTTTTTTGCACCAAGGACTTAGTAAGTACCAACCCCCCTACTTAAATACTCTACACTCCTTATCTGAATCCCCCCTTATCTGAATCTCCTGTTAAATAGCCCTATTAATAGTATTAGCCTCATTTATGGAAGAGAAAACTGAGGCTCAAACAAGATACCACCAAGATACCCAGCTGGTCAATGGTGGAGCCAAAATTCAAAGACACTGATTCCAGAACATCAGAGCTAAAAGGAATCCTAGAATTATCTTCCTCACTTAACCTCTTTGACACTGAGGATTATACAGGACTACCAGGCACATAGTAGGCCCTGGAATATGCTGATTAATAGGTTGATGAAGTTGCCTTATTTTTCAGATTCTGGCCTCTGCCCGAGAGAACACAGCTGCTGAGACAAGCAGGCTCTATTCTTTCCTGCCCAACACCTCTCACAGGTGTGAATTGCTTGCATCCTCTGAATTATTCATGATCCACACAATGGTAAGTGTGCTTAAGAAGAACTATAATTCTGTATTTCTCAAGACAAAGTGCCTCATGGATTGGTGAATGAGCCAATATACAGGATAGGTTGATTCACACCAAATAACAAATCCATGTCCACTTTTCTGAATTTCAGCTTTCATGCAATTTCTTAGTTTCTGCTAGTATTAAAAACAGTGATACAAAAAGCAGCAAAAAGAACCATCCGAAGCATCCCTACCCTATCTGCAAAGCAATTTCCATCATCCAAAGCTTATAGTGTATTGCCTTAAATCAACATATTCTTCCAAGGGCTGGGTTAGGATTTTCAATCAGGTTTCTTAAGCTATTTAAAGATCTGAAAATTCTGATGCCACAGCATCTGCAATTTATGCCCCCAGTAAATCGGATGATAGTACTATCTTCCTTGTCCTTCCTCCATTCTTCTTTCTCTTTGCCACCTCTCCTCCACCAGTTCACTTTTGAGTGGGCAGCTTTCTGAGAGGGAGAATCATATGCTAATAGGAAGCCAACATCACTGTATTTTAAATTCAATGTTAGTCAACCAAAATGAATTGAAGAGCAGCAGCAGTGGTTTGAGGGTACTAAAAATAAGCTGTAACATTTGCTGAGTTCTCAGAATTAAAACCACAGGCGGTCAACTTGTTGCTGCTCTTAATAAGATATGACTGTTCTGCCCCATTGGCTGCTACTACCAGAAACTTGAACTATATGATACACCTAACAATACTGTTTTATATTAGTTGGCAGTGATATATAAAGGAAGTGCCATTTCCCTGGAACTGAACTTGCCAAGAAAGATAGCAGATGGCTTTCTAGAGATCACCTTGTGCCACCTCACAATTGCACCTTAGTTAAACTCACCTTTCATTTATGATTTAATTAGTTACACATCTAGGGATGTGGTTCCCTTTATGCCTGGCCTGCTGCTCAAGACCTTTAAAAAGGATATTTCTTCCTGAGAGTTTAATTTTGGGGTAATATAAAGGAATACAATATGACATATACAATATTACTATATTGAGCATTTCCGATAGGACTTTGAGATCTTGACCCTTGAATATCTTATACCACGCTAAATGTCTTATCGGCTATTCCTTTAGGGTTTGTTATTAAAGTTTTCAATGACCAGAGAGGTAGAGGAATTCTGCCTAATGCATCACTCTGATTAGAAACCTGTCATACTCAGAAACCAGTGGGGCTGCTTCTATTGATTCCTACTCCTTCGGATTCATTAGCAATTTTTTCTCTTCAATTAGACCTGCTGATCAACCATAGAAAATCTGAAAGAAGCCCTCCCTTTGCCCAGCGACACTTAAAAGGGGGTTGGGATACACCTTGAAAGTGAAATTACAAAGTGTGATTGAGAAAATGTCTAAGAAGTAACACAGGAAATTTTTGCACGCGCGCACACACACACACACACACACACACACACTTGTAAACGTGCCAAGAGTCAGAGGCTGGGCTGGACCTCCCTTCCCCTCGCCCACTTGAATCAGGACCAGGAAGGCACAATCTCTTTATTGCTACTATCTCAAATCCATGCACCAAGCGAGTGTCTTCACAGAGCTAATTTCTGAAACAAACAAAGAAAACCAAGTCTGCGAGGAGCGAGGGTCTGCTCCCCTCTGCTTCAGATTTGGGTATCCAAGGTAGCGGGCGCAGCACCGCAAACAGGTCTGGGCGCCCAGTTTCGCCCTAACCCTTCCCGGCCCTGCCAGCCCTGACTCCAGCTGCGCCAGAAAGTGAGAGCCTGCCTTGCTCCTTTTGCCGCTCGCCCGCTGCGCCCCAAGCCCCTACACTCCGGCGCCCGTACACTAAGGGAGCCACTGCTCTCCCACCTCTTTGCTGTCAGATATCAGGCGCCGAGGTGCTATGGGCACCCAGCTGCTGACAAACCAAACAAGTGTCACACTGGACGCCTGCCCCGACTCCCAGTGAGAGGGCAGGATGGCCACAGGTAGGCTTTCTCCACCCTGGGGTGCAGGGTGCAAGACCCTGCGCGGCAACCGCGCCCGACGAGTTGAAACTCACCGGAGGATACCGAGGAGCCGGACAGGCTAGAGTTGCTGGACGCTGCCATCTCCCCGCGCCCCGCGCGTCTCTGCTCGCTCAGCCCCGGTGCGGGCGCCACTGCCGCTGCCCTTGCCCGGCTGTTCGCAGCCTCCTCGGCCCCCAGCCCATGGCAAAGTCCTGGGGACGCGCAGAAAGCACCAGCCTCCGGACTCTGCCTGCACTTCCTGCTCCACCAGATGACGCGCTGCTGCCGCCGCTATTTATTTGTGGTTTCCGTCCCTCTCTGCGCCTTTGCACGTTTTTCTCCGGGTGTCGGGGGCTAGATGGGAGCCTAGGGAGGCCGAGGGGCGGCCGGGGCGGTTGATCTTGGCTCTAGCCGAGTCTCACTGCCGTCCACGCTTCCCCGTGCGCTGTTGGGACCAGGGCGCCCGGGCGGCCCCGAGCCGCCCCGCCAGCTCCCCGCACCCTCCCCTGGGCTCCCGCCTTCCCGGCCGCACTTCGAGCAGACCGGGCAAAGGCGGCGGGAGACAGACAGACAGAGCGACCTCCCCCTTCTCCCTCCGCCCCAACTCCGCTCGCGCGCACACAAAGGAAGGAGAGAAGACGCGGGCGCTCGGGGGCTGGTTCAGCTGCCGCGGGCTTGACAGCTCCTGCGACGGGGGTTGAAGGGGGAGGATGCAGACTATAGGGCGTTGGGGAGACTGGTCACAGGAGCGACCCCCGAGGTGCTGGGGAACGTGGGCCGAGACCCGTTGCCGTGCGCTTCGCTGCTTCTGGGGTTTGAAGGGGACGAGGGTTGGGGGAGGTGGTGAGGCTTGCCGCGCCCGGCGGAGCTCTGGAGCCGTGAGTCAGAGTGGGTGGGGGATTCAGAGGGCAAAGGCGGGATCACTTAGGACAGGGTGCTGTGCAGAAGGGGACCTGGATGCCAGGGACGCTGTGGAGCGCGTCTCCCAATCCCCTTCAAATTGTCCTTTGTTGCTCTGGAGCTGATGGCCCTTGCCCTGTAAGAAGGTGCGTTTCCTAAAACACCCAGGAATTCTCTCCACCTACACTTAAAACCCGACCACAGACAGGGCCTCTAGGGTCCACTGGACTTCTGAGGCTGGCCTTTAGAGAAATAAGAGAGTTCCAAACGTGTCATCAGGCCTACACAAAGCCGGGTGTCAAAGAGAAAGAGACAGTGCCTCCAAAAGGAGCCTCACAAAAGACTAGCACTTGGCTGCAGGTGACTGTGCCTTTTCAGGATGAGAAACTGCTTAGGTGTGTGAGAGAAAGCCACTGGAGCGCAAGGTGTATACCTTCCTTCTGTATTTAAACCTAAATTAATTTCACTGGGAGGAAATATCATGCAGATTTTTTTAAGTCTATTTCACGCTCCCAGCAGGGTAATCGGTTCTTTCAATCCTGAAGCAACAGAAAACTGTGAAATTTGAACAGAAATTGTTAGATCAAAGGAAAAAGCAAACATTAAAGGAATGAAAGTACTCTCATTATATAGCAAAATGGAAAGTGTTCACATTGGGGGTAGTTCAATTTTTAAAAACATGGTTAAAAGGACATAGTCCATTTAAAAATTATCAGGAGTGACACAGGAAGCCAGCCAGGTCCTAGGGGTATCCACACTAACCAAGCACCTAACACACAGTGAATAATGTTAAATATGTACAATATGTACTCCTGTCACATTTTCTAGTTGATTTAAACTATTTTTTAAAACTTCCCTCCAGGATACCATCCCAGTAGGCTGCCGTGTGTGTGTGTGTGTGTGTGTGTGCGCGCGCGCGCATCTCTCTCTCTCTCTCTCTCTCAATTGCTGAAGAGTTGAAGGACTCACTAGCACTCTCTCCTCACACTGGACCATGTCTTCCTGGCCTCATCTGCCTGAACCTTGAAATAGCTCTTTGTGGTACAAGGAGACCCAAACACCACCAATTCCCCCACCCTCACTCCATTTTCTTATTGTGCCCTCAGCCTTGATACAGCCTCAGCCAGATCCCTGTGGGACATGTGCCCATCATGCCCTAGACTCCTCTATCCAAATGGGATTTCCTGTTTCCCCAGAGTTCTTTTGAAGGAAGACAGTATTTGTTTGTTTGACTAGTAATCCATATTCCCTTCAGATCTTTAGGTGGTAGACTTGGCCACGTCACCTAACAGGATTGTTGCCATCTGACTTTGAAAATGACAAGACCTGGGGTCAAACTCTGGTTCTGCCACTTATTAGCTATGAGGCCTTGAACAATTACTTAGATCACTGAGTCTCAGTTTTTCCACCTGCAATGAAAATATTGATAATGTGAAATGTTGTGAAGATTAAACAGGATGCTATGTGTGAAGCCACAGTATACCTGGAGTAGTTTTGACTATAAACTATTTACTTGAAAGATGGAATCTGTGGTTTGAACAATTTTGCTTCCTCCACTGCCATGGGGATATAACTAATCAGCAGTGACTTAGGCTACTGGAGAAATATCTCAGCTTCAGCCCAAAGCTTATGTGATTTTTGTCCCAAATTGAGCTGTAGGCAATGGGTTTCATTACTCATTTCTGAAGTCTCAGAAGAATATCAGATGCTGTTTGGATGATAGAATTGCCTTCATAGAACTTTGGTTAGTTAGAGAAATAGATTATTTTATTATTCCAGATTGATAGATGAAGGGGCAGAGGAGAACTTGCTATGAATGGCCCACCCCCAAGCCACCCTGTGCTGTGCAAAAGTAGAAAAAGGTGGTGACTGAGTAAGTGAGGTCCAGCCTATTGATAAGAAATGGACAATAACTCAGAAGCCCATTATTTTGAAGAATAAACACAAAGCTCCAGATTCAGAACTGAAATCTGAAAGCTGATGGATCATTTGGACTGTTAAAGCATAACCAATGGAGAAAACTCAGCATGCATGGTTGTTCACTATCATCTTTCTTCAATTCAGAGGCCTAAAAGCCTGCTGCTCCCTATGAAATGTTTTATATCAGTAAATTAGCAGGCAGGGCCTGAAACACAATGCTAACCTTCTTCTCCACCAGTAGGCTCAGAAACCTGCTTGTGAACTTGCTTCCAAAGTATTTCTCCAAATGGAACCAATGAGAAAATTAGTTCATATATTTTATTCATTCCTATATGGCATTAAGTCTTTTCCTGCGGGAAAAAGGAATATTGGTGCTACTGAGATCTTAGATCTATTTGAAATCCAATTTAGTGTTTCTGTTTTTAGGTAGCTGTACTGTCTAGAAGAATCAAACATTAAAGTACCTATGAATAAATGTGATATAGGGATAATCTGGTCTACATAGGATTAAAGTTACCATTTTGTTTTAATTTAGCTTCCACCTGGCATTCAAAGCCTTCCACCTTTCCCTTTCGAAGCTTATTTCCTATTGTCCCCTTCACAAAAGTGCCCTTTTCTCACTTGTGTCCTATCCCTTGGAGCTGACAGCACTTGTTTCTACCCAGGGCCCCTCTGCAGCCCATCCAACCCATGGTGAAGGTCCACCAGGAATATACCTTGTCTGAAGAATCTTATCTGATTCCCAAGCCAGAAGCCAGCTCTCCACCTGTTGAATTCCCCCAGTCCTTTTAGTTCCTCTTCCATTGGCAGATCTCTGCTCTGTCCGATTTTAATGGTGATTTTGGTGCATATTTTCTCTTCCTAGTCTATGAAAAGCTTCCTGCAGGCAGGATTCTTATCTGCCTAGCCCTTGTATTATCTACCATTCTTTGCAAACAATAAGTGCTCAGGAGATATTTACTGTATAAATGAGGACACAAAGGAATCAATGAATCCATAAATGGTTCTCCTGTGCACCAATTACTTTGCACCCAAGTGGCTGTGACCACTGAGCAACAGGACAGGACTTTGAGCAACACACTGGATCACAAAAGGAAGTTGATTGGCAGTAAGAACACCATCTTTGCCAGGAACAAGAAAAACTGAAATGATGAAAACAAAAGAATAAAATTTTGATGGAGCAAACCTTGGCAGCCCCCATCCCATGCCACATCATGGCTTTGGCTGTTATAACTCCTGTAATTTATTGTTTACAGGGTAGCTCTTGCGTTACTATAATCTGTTTATTTTCTTTTAGTGTTCCTTTGAAGTATAAAAGCAGACAAGAAAATACCGCAGGGTGAATTCGCTGTCGTGGTTGGAGCTATGCTCTGTCCTTTCAGGCACTCTGGGGTGCTTCCTCCTGAAGGTCATTCCCTTTGCCTGTGCTAAACAGAATGAAATATTCCTTACTTTCAAGATTAATCCAGTGACCAGCATTCACAAGAGAACAGTGAGGCTATTCGTCAAGTAGCTTTAAATATTTTATGGCAAATACTCTACCGTAGCCTGAACAGTGGCCCTTTTGCCATCAATTTCTCAACATCAATATACCCTCTGTCATTCTGAGAACTATTTCCTTTTCCAGTTCAAGCCCTTTTTCGAATATAAAGATACTAGTTCTGTTAGAGAGAAAACATTGAGTCTTGGGGGTATGGGCAGGAGTACCAGAGGCAGAAGCTGGGGAGCAGTAGGTTTCCTAGGCAGGTGTGCAGGCAGCCCGGGTACGGCTAGCCAGGAGCCAGCTCTCAAGCTGCAGGTAGCAGCCCTGCCTCTGAACAAAGAGGAGTCCACACCTGGGGTGCAGACAAAGGGAGGCCGGCCGCCTGAGCTACCCAATTCCCAGTGCACATCGCCTGCTGCTGGGGACCCCTAGTGGCGACACAAGCTGCAGGCACAGGTATTCTAGCATTTTGTGGCTGAGCTGCGGAGGAGTCCAGGTTCATTGCCTGGAGTTTCCTGCTTGGCCACTTAGCTTGCATGCATGCATGCATGCACACGCTGCTCAGCTACAGTCTCTTTAAGGGGAGACACAGATTGAGAGAAAGGAATGAGGGCTTTTCTTCCTTAAGAAAAAAAAAAAGCATAGAGTTCAGAAAGTCATTAAATATGGTTTCGTCTGCATATTGTGCCTTCTGGCTTTGTTTTCTGACATTTAAAATTACAAAACTCTTTTCTTCCCTCGATGTCCTAAGAGAAATCTAGGGTAAACTAAAGTGATGAGAGCTCTAAGCCTCCTCTGGGCAAAAAATGTGGGATGAGTGTTTTTTATTGATTGGTTCCCCCCACACACACATCTTCCACTGCTGGTTTTAAGCTCTTTTTACTCTCAAAATTTGTTTCCAGAAAGACTTTCAACAGGTTTATTCTCTACAAAATGTTCATTTATACATTTGTTAATTTACTCAGAAATGTTTACTAAGCACTCACTGCATGTCACAGCGTATACTGGGACCAGGAATGAAGATGAGAGG